CGGGACGCGGGCCTCTGCTTCCCAGCCGCCCTCCTGGGCTGGAAGCACAGCGCCTGCGAGGTCCCCAGGCCTGGGACTGTGAATGCTGTGTGGGCGCCGTGGCGACAGATCTGTGGTCCCCGTTGTGGATGCGGAGCGAGGCTCGGGGAGGGTGGGTGAGCGCCTGGAGGTCAGCCAGCACCCAAGGGGGCTGTGGTTGCCTCAGCGGCTCTCGCTCTCTGCCAGCTGCTCCGGGTCTGGCCTGGTTGGTTTGAACACACAGCGTGGTTGCTGCGCACCTACTACGCGCAGCGCTGTGTTATCTGGGGAGTGAGGAGGCGTGGTCTCCTGAGGCAGATGTTCCACAGGAAACGAGAGTCAGTCCTCGGTGCAGTGGCAGAGAGAGGCCCAGGGGGTCCTGGGAGGCTGAGTCCCAAGGCTCGCCCCTGGCAAGGCATGATGGGGTGTCCTGGGTGGGGGGTTGTGTGCTCAAGGGGGAGAGACGTGGGGAGAGTCACCAGCTGGGAGGCGGGAGTGGGGAGGGGCCGCTCTTGCCCTCTGAGCACTGGGGAGCCACAGCAGGTTAAGCGGGAGAAGAGAGGGGTTCGCCGGATGACCTCTCCTTCGCGTTGTGTGGCCAGAGCTCTCATCGGGCAGAACCCCTTTTCTGCGCTTCCGGGGGCCTGGGAGAGAAGGGCTGGAGACACAGGGGAGACGCGAAGGACTCGGGAGCTTCCGCTTCCGGTGACGGGGGTCGCCGGGGGTCACGAGGAAAGCAGAGCTAGCAGGGTTTCTGCGCCTGCACCTCTCCCCGTGCCCACCTGGCTGGCAGCCTCCAGGGCACCTTGCTGGAGGTTACAGATGCGCGACGCTCACCCAACCCCCGGGGGCGGGGAGGCGGACGGGCAGACACCGCCACCCCCGGCTGCAGCCCTAGTCTCGGCTCTTGCGTTTGCGTTCGTAGCATTTACCAGGTATTTCTGGGAGAATGAGAGTGAGGTGCAGGTGCTGCCCAGCAAACTGCCAGAGCGCAGAACATGAGCACAGGACGCTCAGTGGATCCCAGGAGAGAGGAGGTTTGGGGAAATGGCAGCTGTGGAATGTAAACAGAGGCTTCTCCACTCTCCTCCCCGGGCGACTGAGGCTGTGGGTACGGCCAGAGCTGAGCTCCCGAGAGAGT